TGCAGCAGCCGCCAGCCGGCCCGGGGCTCAGCTTCTGCCTGACACCAACTCCAAACCCAGCTCTCCATCCCCGAGACGGCTGCTGGTGGGGCTGCCCGGACCCCCGCTGCCGGGCTGGGCCTGGGCTCAGAGGGCTGGGCCCAATCCTGGGCATGGCAGGGGACATGGGGGAGGACTAGGGGGAGCAGTGGGTTTCCCCAAGTCCAGCCTGCCTTGCAGCAGGCACCCTCCTCGGCTGCTGTGCTGGCTGGCAGCCCCAGGGGTTTGTATTTCGAGGTTCAACCAGCGGCGCTGGGGCAGGTTTCTCCACCGCAGCATTTTGGGGCAGCGAGCACTTGCAAAGAGTTTTTGTTTTGTTTTGGTTTGTTTTTTTGCGGGTGAAACCATGGCGAGGAGGCTGCAGGCAGATTTTGTGAGCGATTCCGGTTGCCTGCCGGTGCCGCTGACTCAGTCCCTGGTGGTGCGGTCGCACAGCCCGCTCTGCCCAGATGAAATCACATCCTCTCCACTGCAGCCCGCCCCACTGCGCCCGGTGGCACCGTGCAGGGCTCTCGTGCTGCTCAGGCCCGAGCTGTGCACGCTAACCCGTTGGCACCCACGGCCGGCCTCCCTCCCCGGGAGATGCCACTGGATGCGGCCGGGAGCTGACCCTGCTCGGGGCTGACCTTCCCCTTGGACGTGCGCTCCTCGGCGGGCTGGAGGAGCGAGGGAAGGGGAGGAGGAGGAGGGCGGATGGGGGCAGGCAAGTGTTTTAGCCAGGTCAAAGCCCCCAGTGAGATGCAAAGATGCTCCTTGGAGGCACCGGCGCTGCCCCCGGGGGGAGTTCTGGTCCCTGCTGTGCCTGGTGGCAGCACACCCTGCAGCCCCTCTACTCATGGGTGGCTCTGGCCAGGGACCACGTGGAGCTTCATCCCACCTCTTCCCTCGCCTTCCCAGGGCAGCAAAGGCTTGCTGGGGTGCCCTGGGTGCTCCAGGAGCATTCAGCTCCACGCGCTGCCATTCAACAAGGCATGAACATCATAGCCAGGGGGGTCTCTGGAAGGCTCAGGGACTTCTTAAGATTTGGTTTTTTGCATTTCTGCCCCAAACTGTCCAAGGGAGCACAGGAGTACCGGGGCTGTGGGACGTGCATGGTGTGTTTTCAGATCCCAGCCCTACCATGGGAATAAGAAAACCCCATTTTTTGGCAAACTCCCTCTGGCCTGCACTGGTTTGTGCCTTGCTTGTCCCTGCTCCACAATCCCGGCTGTCGCTTTGCCCTCCCGTCCCACTGGCACGATCCCCAGCGCCCCTCATCACCCTGCCCGCGCCCCGACTCACCGGAGAGCTCTGGGCTGGCCTCCAGCCCCAC